AATTAAGTCTGTATGTGGATGTGTGAAAATATTCAGATGTAACCCGCTTTGTAATTGTTAACATTTTCATAAGGAGCTGTAATTTAATACAATTACATTCTCAGTAACTGTAACTGATTAAAATTACATTTATTTTGGGTAACACTTTATTTTAAGGCATCCTTGTTACACATGCTACTTACTATTATAGTAACAATAAATTATGCATAATAAAGCAATAAGCCCCAAGAAGCCGTTTTCTTGCAATTCCGAGATTATATCTCACAATTTTGGTAAGAAAAATCAACTCGTGATTCTTTCTTTTTAGTTTATAATCCCACACTTCTGGCTTTTTTCCCTCAGAATTGACAAACTCGCAATTGTTGAGTTGAATCAAGTTATAAAGTCCGAACTAGGAGATATAAACTTGCGTTTGCATAATTAGATGCAAGTAACCCTAATCCTAACCCTAACCATATAGTAAGTACATGTAGTTAATTAATATTACTCAGTACCTAAATGTATAATTACACTGTAACAAGGAAACCTTAAAATAAAGTATAACCTTATTATTTTGTAATAAAATTACGTAATTTAGTTACATGTAACTAGTTACTTCCCAACACTGCAACTATATGTCAAGCTACCAGTCAATGTACAGTAAATGGTTACAGAGAAAACTGAGCATGAAACCAACAAACCTTAATCTAAATCTAAAATCACCTCAAAATATCAAAACCTTGTTTATGAGAAATGCAGTAATAATGTTGTCTGAGTGTGCACCCTACCTTGCCGTGCGAGGTCAGCCGCTTCTGAGTGTGGCACCATTGTGACATTGGTGCCGTTGACCGCCAGCACATAGTCTCCAACCTGCAGGCCTGCCTCCTCCGCTGCTCCATCTGAAACAGCCATCTGAGCTCTCAACATCTGAGGAACATGGCCCATGAACGGCGCACTTTTTGCTACTAGAACTTACAATAAGTTAGTATTTAAAGAACTGAAAAGAAAATTCGCCGTCTATTCTTGCATTGCCCATCTGCTCATGGTAGATTTTAAAAACTAATCCATGTGATTAAAGGATGGAAGTAGAGCTGTTCCAACCCGATCTCAAGAGAAAATCACTATTTTACAAAT